GGCAGGGGCAGACTCAGAGAGGGGTGGCACATTTGAAATACAGATGAAGTCAGTTAAACCACAAGTTCTATTAAATAAGCCATCGTTAACGGTCAAGTTGTTTATTTTGTGTATAAAGGAGACACAGTGCTTTCTTTAGCTGTGATTGCCTTATTTGCTCCTGGGCAGGGGATGCTGACCTTATTTACAAGTGTTACAGGACATTAATGTGTAATTATGATAAGACTGATGTGACGTGAACAAGGTGAACTTCTTCACATGGACAAACTTTAGGCCTGCGCTCACGTGGGAGTTATCTTAATTATGAATTTCCATCTGTTCAAAGTCCAGCTGCTCAGATATACAGAAGTGCCAGAAACCAAAACAAACAGAGGCCGCACAATAACCAAACATGGACCAAAAGGCACATTTAAGGCAAACAGCATCATCTTGCCACTGCTCATGCTTTTTCAGAACCACCTTGATGATGTAAATGCGCACAAGTTGTCTTTCTGGCTCTCTTCACCACATGTGATTATGAGCTCTGTGACTGGGTGTTTCTTACAGCAGGGCCCTCTGGAACTTGTAGTTGCCTTTGTTGCAAAGTTTGCAGATTTTCTTTGTTCAAAGAAGCAGAATCTCTTCAGCTATTATTGTTGGAGAGGTTCATGTCCATCGCCCTGTCCCAGTGAAGCCTCATCCTGGTGGCGGACTGGGGGGCTGCAGGTGTGTTGTAAAGAGCTCATTGTCCTCCCTGAGCAGCTCAGCAGGCAGAGCTTCAGACCTCAGGGACAGTAATCGTACTCGCCTCCGTTGGCACCTCCGTCTATCTGATAGATGTTCTCCACCGCCGAACCTCGACTTTGGAGATGGAGAGTGGATGAGGGGGAGTTGAAGAGGGCTGAAGTGTGGACCTGCTGCTGAGGGCTGCAACAAAATTCACATACGTTTAATTCATCTATTAATGTTTTCACTGATTTCTGTAGTAAAATTCAAAATAATTTCCTAGGATGAGTCCTAGAAGAAACTGTGATTTGCTACTTTTTATATGGAAAATGTTTTGATTTATTTTGCTTATTCATGACCTCTTCTCAAGTGTAACCACAAATACTTTACTTTAATCACATTAAGTGCTACAACTTACAACCTGTGTAGTTCTACTTTTATTCCATGTCATTCAGTCTACTGGTAATGATTACACTGCAGCTCAGGTTAACCTGTTTTTTTTTTCAGATGCACTTCACCTCAGATTGTGACATTTGTGATGTGACATTTTCACCAGCTTCATCTGAACATCTTCTCTGAATGTCACACCAGTCAGAGTGGAAACCTCAGAGGTTTCCTCTGTTCACTTTCATCTCCACTCTAAAGTTTATGTTTCTGGTAAAGTAAACCTCCTGTGGCGTGAACACCCTTCTACATATCAGGCCTTTCAAAGCCTTTCATAAACTCTTACTGATTATTAAGCAAATCATTTCCATTGTTATCTTAATTATTGATCACTTCAGCTTTCTACATTTAGCCATTATCTCTTAACAATCATTTTTTCTATCACCTCCTACTGGTTTCTTCTTCCATGTTTTGGATCTGTCGTTTACCTGGCATCAAAACTATTTAAACTGTTCCTGCTCTTTGACAATCTGTGATTTCATGTTTCAAAATATTGGTTGAGAAATGTCAAGTTCATCTGCAAGTTGTGCAACATCTTAAATACTCATGCGCAAAAATAAAAGAGAAAAACGTCTGTCTCCGGCTCCTTCCTCGAGTTAGCCTACTGTATGTGTCCACCTCTTCTAGTATGTTTGAATTTTGAGAAGACTTTAAGAATTTTGGAAAAATCAGGTTTTATGGATTAGGTAGCTCTGTGACTGAGTGTATTCTAAAAGGGTCTGAGTGTGTGGGTGTCAAGTGAAGTCATCATGTTATCAGCAAAATCAAACGTTAAAAGATTCAGTTTCAATTCAGACGCTCTGCTTGATGACTACTGGAAATGTGGCAATAAATGAGCGATGCATCTGGTCTTCCACCACCGCTAATCAGAAATCTGCCGTGTGGTTTCCTCTTCTCGCTGGTTTCAGTTTGAACACACCACCGTGCTACTGAATGTAGTGGGATGAAAAAGAAGATGATGATGATGATGAGATGCCCAACTCTGAGGTCAATGATGATGATGATGATGATGATGATATGCCCAACTCTGAGGTCACACTGCAGACTCATGAAATCTCAGCTCAGTCACGGCTTAACAGCAGAGAGAGGTACCAACAACGTCTGAACTACCGGGACTTTAACGTCTCCAAGCTGCTCGGCCTCGCTGCCAGGCCGTCAACAGAACAAGAAAAGAAGAAGCTAAAATCAGTTTCCCAGTCTGAATGAGTCACATTATGACACTTACATTTTGTTGAACCTCCACCTCCGTCCTGCAGAGAAACAAAAACACCAGAAGTAACACCAGTAACAAAGAGAGATGTTCGCCTGCGCAGTCCTGAATAAACAGATTGTCATTACGAGAGAAGATTAAGTCTGGTCTGTTACAATGTCAAACAACTGATGAACTGAATGTCCGACAGTCTGTGAACTCCTCACGTGACCACCATCGTGGTCGACTGACTACTGCTCCATCTTTGGGTTACAATAAAAGCAGCAGTGAAGGACTGTTCACGTTACAGTGGTAAAACGAAGGCCTTGCGCTGCGCGTTCCACTCTGGTCAGCACTGAAACTCATGTAGAAATTCCCAGGGGAGTGGCTTTGATGCTAACGTTGGTAGCAGTCTTGAAGGTTTGAGCTACAGAAACACAGGACTACAACTAGTTGAAAGAAAGAAATCCGACAGATTAAAAAGAAATAGGGACTAAAAATATTTTGCTAGCTTTGTCTGTGTTTATCTGATCTCGGCATTAGGATTATATTATTGTACAGTTTGGGAAAGTTCAGAAATGTTGTTATATCCTGTAACCTGCAGTTCTATGAGTAAAGGCAAAGCCTGAGAAGCCCGTTGGCTGCACACACAGAGGTCAGCGCAACAAAGGTCAAAGTTCACCTAATTTGAGCTTTCTGCGCACCACAGACATATGTGCAGAACCTGTGCAACGCACCACGTATGCAACAATGGCGACACGCGCACAAAAGCCGTTTCTCAACTGCAACGTGAACATGCCATGAGGACAGTGGCTGTTCTCATGTCAGGCTTTAACTTACCGATAAGGATGAGTCCACCTATTGCGGCCAGTGCTGTCAAACTGCAGAAAACACACACCAGAACCACTGTCACAGCGCTGCTCCCCTGTTCATGTCAACACATAAACACACACTTAGTGTCACCTCTTCAGCTGAAAGTCAAGCTGACGTCTCCAGAGGGGCCCCGGGGCCCGAGATCCGCCTCTGACTGGTGACATTAACCGTCAACTACACAGTGACACTTAAGGACTAAACACACACAAGTGGACCTTAATGAGATGCACAAAAAGCGAAAGATCCTGTGCACAAAACAACTTAGATAAAAAATGATGACAGACAGAAATCGATGTTAGAGATGTAGAATGATCACAAAGAGACAAACAGCTACAAAGAGACACAAACGACCACACACAGATCTGCTCCCATGTAGGATTCACTCTACTTGTGCGCTTAATTTCTCAAGTCCTCTCATTTTATGTTGCTGCAGACTTTCACTTCTCACCATGGGAAAATACAGCAGTTTTTAATGTGCTACACAGATACTAGCTAATTTAAAGGTAAAGACTTCCTGTCTCTTCATCATTCACAGTTTGTGGCATTTGTTTCATAGAAACTCAAATTTCTAACGACATGTAAACCACCCTCTCAGAATTGCCAGCTCACACCGGAACAGGCATGTTTCTCACCTCAGCCTCAACACTGCTGACACTGCTGGAGCAGGAAGTTATGGCGCTGTGGGTGGATGTCATCTGACCTGCAGGAAATGAAAGCAGATGTTGACACGGCTGTGTCAGCAGCCTAAAGAAACACAACTGGTCTGTGAGGAACTGGTCCGAGGTCTGGAGTTCAAACACACACGAGGCTGAACCGAACGAACCCTCCTGCTGTTGTCGTTCAGTGTGGAACATACTGGGCCCAGTTTTGAGGATCCACAGCATCTGATCAAGATGTACTGGCTCAAGTGGAGTTTTGGTGTGTCCATGTTCATTTTGGCAATTTGACGACGAGGAAAAATGGTTCAAGCCTCTGTGCAAGGAGAGCAGGGCCGTACTTGACCTCCTTATTAAAACAGGGTGTGTTTTGGGCGCAATATGCAATTATCCAATCAGTGTGTAACCTCACATCCCCTTTAAGAGACGTGGCAGTTTGAACGTTTGGCGGATTGCTAGCAGACTGGTGGACTTGCCGGGTCAGACGTCAGTAAGATTTTCCACTGAAGAAACAGATCTGTTCATGCATAAGGTGAAGGTGCACGATCACTAATCAAAATGGTTCTGCATGTCCTGCGCATGAGCACTGTGCATGCACCTACACAGGCGCACATCACAACACGGCCAAAGAGACATTAACTAGCAACGATGATTGGACTGTTGACCGCAGACCTGCTTTTTGCTGGTCAGTGACACAGTCACTTTATGCGCCCTCATATTACCAACGCACCCAAATTTGCCTGAACACATCCTGTCTTCATCCAGACACACCTGCCGGTAATTGCACTGGTAGGAAACTAGGAAACACAGACGTGCTACCGGCACCACACTGTGTGCTTGTTGTCCATTGTGACTGTGTTTGTGGTGAAAGACCTGGATTGAGTCTGGCTGTTGTCTGCAACGTCGACGTCTCTCTGTGTGATGTTGCCGATGTAGTTGCCCACGGAGCTGAAACACACAATCACAGACAACATGAACACAGCAGGGAACATCTGCAACACCTGTATTATCAGTTAACCTAAAGCTCTGCCCACATCTCAGCTGAACTTCATCACCTCAGACAACAGGAAACTTGTTAAACCAATTCAGACTGTTTGTGTCTGGTGGTGCCTCCCAGGTGTAAACATGTGTGTAACGACAGGAAATAATCCAACTCTGTAAGTTGGCGTGACAGTATGGCGAAGTTCAACATTTCTACTGTGTTCTGTTCTCTGCTCTGAGTCGATAAACTATTTCAGCTTGTAAACAAGAAGACTTCCACATTCTACTGTAGGACATGTATTTATAGAAGAGTTTGCTCAGAAGTTTCTCCAAACAGAGCCTGATTTCACAGATTTCAACTTCCTGTTTCTTTTCATTTCCAGTGTTTCCACTCAGGCAAATTGTGCAATGTGCAGACAGACATGTGGAGGGAAACGCGCAGTGACAAACTCCACCCTGCTGCACAACTCCAGGTTTTCCTAAAGATTTTCTTACCTCCTTTAATGGTCAAATCAAAGTGATGCTTCTCATCATTGAACCACCCGTATATATCCACTCTGCACCCGTACCGCCCAGCGTCTGCCTCCGTCAGGTTCAGTATCGTCAGAGAGACATCCCCGTCCTTCAGTCGTCCCTGCAGCTGAAACCTGCTGGAGATATTTCGCCCCCTCTCCATATAATGGCCTGTGGCGACCAGCTTGTTGTCACAGCCATGGTTGGGTATATCTCCTCGATTCCAGCAAACTGCCCGCTCTCCGTGGTACTTTATGTCATATGTACAGCGTAGAGTGATGTTCTGACCTGCTTGACCCACGACCATGAGGTCACCACACGCACCCACTGTGGAGACAGAAACATAAAATATGTGGTCACCTTCAACTTTGTCTTCAACCTGCTCAATCAGCAGCTGACGTCCGGACTCTGCTGGTCTACTGCCGACGTGCCCTCCTGCTCTGACTCTGGTTTCACCTGATTTAAAGGGTTTCTACTGTATCTTACTGTTTTACACATTTGTATGCATTGTTTCTAAATTCTATTTCTTTTTAATCTGTCAAATTTCTTTCTTTCAACCAGTTGTAGTCCTGTGTTTCTGTAGCTCAAACCTCCCACGCACAACAGTAAACACTGATTTATTCAAACATAAAATAAAAGCCACCAGAGCCTCCCTTGTCTGCGTTATGCAGCATCTGATATCTGATTAGGTTTGCCCACTTCCAGAGTAAATAACATTAACAAGCAACACTGCACCAGAATGATCACTAATACTAACAGACCCTTCTACCCACAGTCATTTTCTCTTTCCCCAGTCTCACGTTATTTAAGAGACTCCACAGTGGTTGGCAGCACAGAGACTGAACGAAGGAATGGCCAGAGCAGAGACAGTAACCGTAACAGGAACGCACAGTCACACAACATGCTCAGAGACAACACACAGCTACAGAGGTTAAGGAAATAAATACCATTAAAATATCAGATATGTATGTATTGGTTAAATGCCATTGTCACTTCTAGATGAGAGCTGAGAGCTGGTACCTGTGAGCAGAGCGAGCAGCAGCACAAGCTTCATGATGAACACCGATGAACTGTCGTCCCACCAGACACAGACCACAGTTAAACACACAACTTGTGCAACACTGTGAGTCATCACTACTGTGCGCTGTACAAAGAAATCACCGGACGCTGGCAGCCAAAACCACACATCACCGTATTTCTCATGCAGCTACTTTACTTGACTCTGTTTTCAATGATCACATTTTTCTCTTCGCTGCTGTAAAATACTGCTCCAGCCCAGTTACGTGCCTGGAGATTATGAATTCCATCTGTGTCTGCTGCTACACAAACTAAGGTTTTAGTTTAAAACTAATAACTATTTTAAACTATTAACATTCAGGTTTCTGCAGACCTGCTGTGTTGTATGGTAACAAAGCTGAGGAGCAACATATTTTACTCATTCACGCCTCATTAACATGTGGCTGTGCTGCTGCAGTTGCAACAGAGAGCTCTACTTAAAATCAGGGAAAGTCACATGAAGTTCTGCAGAGATGAGACAATAAAGAGGCTCAGGGTTCTCCAGGAGCTGCTGCCAAGAGAAGCTGGCTGTGGACATGATGGCAGACTGCTGACCTCGGTGGGAAGCACTCAATTTAGCAGGAAGCTGTTCACCCCAGCAGGTCTACAGTTATGCTTTAGTTTGGGTGGCAGGGGTTAAGTAACTTTAACCCTGATCCTAACCCAGTGACCCTAACAACTTCTGGCCAAGACTGACAGTGCTCAACTCTTGGTCATAATCTGCCATCTTGTCCACAGCCAGGTCCCCCTCAGAGCTACTGCAAAGTGGCTTTTGTTTTTGCGTGTGAGGGTTTTGATGTTTTTTGTGTTTTCATAAATGTCAGGAAAATGATACAAACAAAAACAAGTGTACATTATTTCTCTAATTAAAAACATTGAGCAAGTGTTTCAACTGTGATCTTTAAAAGAAGCCACACTCTAAACTTATCTGGGTTAAAATTTTCAATTGCTTATTATTTTATTTACAAATTAAAAGTAATATACATTTAATAATTTTCAGTATGAAGAAATGTTAGTCATTATATTTAAGAAACTATAAACACAATGTTTTATGAAAAAGAATATCAGCCTCCCCGTCGGGGAATCGAACCCCGGTCTCCCGCGTGACAGGCGGGGATACTCACCACTATACTAACGAGGAACACTGTAGCAGTGAATCAAGGGCTCATCTTTTTAAGCCCTATGCCACTTGGTTCTTGCTAGGGCGGCTCGTTGTTATACGGCTATGTATTAAAAACCGTCCGTTAACAGATAAATCAGCGCATAACTACACACTCACACTCACACTACATACCAACATAAAACAGATCAAACTGATAAACACGCGAAATAATCAGCATTTGAACAAATAAAAACTGTCACGTTACTCAGGTGTTACCGCGACAGGTCGAGGGCAGCAAACACCGCATTATTATTATTTAAATTAAGTGACAATTCAAACTAACTGCAACAAACTACAACAGGAAAACAACGATAACAATCGAGAAATGATGAAATAAACACATACCGTGTCCACATGAAACACGTGAGGGACTTCTTATTTACAGCTTTCTTACTAATTACAAACATCTGGACGAGAGATGGCGCTACAGCCTGAATCCTGATGCAGGCGATAACAATCAACACTAATCTGGAGGATTTAGATTATTGTCTACCACCGCGTGAACGAGCCGTGGATCAGGCCTGTTAAAGGAAACATTCGTCAGTACTGAATGTATCGATGATGAAATAAAACGACCTTGCCCGAGATTTATTTTATGAGTTTAATAACTTGACAAAGAAAACAACTTTACAGCAAATTACTGCAGTGTAAACAACAACAGGTCGGATCCGTGTTCACGACTTGCTATTGTTTTCTACCAAATCTGTGATTACTGACATTTATTTACACCCAAATGACCTGTGGTGACCCCGTGCAGGTGTCTAGTTAGGTCGTCCTAGAGCGCCCCCTTCTGTTGCAACACACTCGGGACTGTGCCACAGTAGCTCCAGGTGTCCTGCCAGCTGAAAGTGGAGCGCCCCATCAGTCAGATGTACCCTCTGGGTACTGGAACCTGCCAGTCACCAGTTCTTCCTGTCCTGCAATCGGGTCTCCAGACTATTCAGATTCTCTCCCAGCAGGATGAGCTCAGGGGAACTGCACCACCGTCTTTCAGACACTGTTTTACCTCCACCTGTGTCTGACAGGTCAAAATGTGTGGTCTCTGCAGCATGCAGGGATCACTGAGCAGGCTTCAGGGGCCCCAGGATCAGGGGCCCTCTGTATGTGCAGGTCATATGGCTCAATTATGAGGCAAAATATCCACAAAAAGAAACAAAATACCAACAGTCAGTGTTAATTAGGGTTAGTCAGTCAGTTAGTCTGGGGTCCAGTGCAGGAGGGGGTGGGGCCTGTTACCTGTCTTTGCAGGGGGCCCACATTCCCTATAATCCACCTCTGCCCTGTGGTTACCCAGCTGTACTAAAATGTAGAAAACAGTCAAATGAGAGATCTGGTCCACCAGCAGCAGGGACAGATGGAGTCCCGTCTCTAAACAGGGTGTTCCCCCTCCTCCCTCTCCTCGTCTTCCTCCGGCTGTGACGGCTGCTCAGACCTCCACGCTCCTGCACACACAGCACAAACAGCTGTTGGTGCTTTAGCCTCCATGAGGAATTAAATAACAGCAACACACTGACACTGGAACATCAATTCAGTTTTGGTTGAAATGTGAAAAATATAAAACAATCTAACACAAGTTCAAGGTAATACTGATGTAATCAGAGGGCTGAAAGCAAAGTACACACTGGATCTCAGACAGAAATGTACTTTTTACTACGTTTACTAATGATGAAATAAACACGTACTGTGTGCACTGTGTGTGTACTGTGTGTACTGACGGTGAGCAGTAGTCACCAGCAGAGCAGGGATGAAGATGATGAAGGACACCCTCAATGTGTGTCCGACGATGCTCTGCAGAGAGTTCACCTGCTGCTGGACAGCTGACTGTCAACAAACAAACATTTTTACTTATTTGTTGCTGCGGTAACCACAACACAGTATCACAGTGGTCTGACATTTAAATTAAAAAACTCCATAAGCAGCAGCTTTGCTGAGTCTTCTGTACCTGAATCAGCACCACCATCGGTTCCGTGGTGTTGACAACACTTCCTGTCTGCTGTGTTGTGTTGTCACCTGTCAAACAGGTGAAGACAAACATAAACAGAGTTTCTGGCTGCACCACTGATGGTAACTTTTCTAGAACAAAGCATCAGTTTGATTTAGTCCCTACAGTCTCTTGAAAAAGACAGGGTCAGCTGCAAAAGTCCCACAGTGAAGTGACCAAACTGTCAGCCCAGGTTTGTCAAACATTAAAATTCACGCTAAAGCTTTCTGTCTCTTCAGGGCTCCTGCACTTCAGCATCACATTCAGACCCATACTCACTTATTGGGGTGTGTGGTGTGTTCAGGTTCCTGGTGTCCTGGCTGTCTGAGTGCTCAGAGCTTCCTGCTGGTGAGGAGTCAGAAACCACGGAGTGAGCTGCAGGAGGAAGGGCAGATACGAACATTCAGCCACCATCTGTCATGGTCTTTGGCAGCAAATTTGTCATCACACCATTCAGTGGTCATTATTGTTATACTGTAACCTGCAGCCATAAATATGGTTCAGAAGGGGTCTGCTGTACCTCCCTGGAGGTACAGTAGGTCTGTTCTACAGACATGCACCCATAATATGCACATGACATCTAGTGGTCATAGTAATTATGACACAATCCACAGGGTGAATTGGGTGACGCAGTTCATGAAGGAAGAAGGTCAGTATTAGGTGGAGGTTTGGCTGGGTGGGTGGATCAGACAACACTGGACTGCCCACAGGAGGGAGGTGCACAATTTGAGAGAGATGCGTTGTTTGCTGTGTTTGTGACCTTTTAACTCAAGACACAATCTTCTCCAAAACAAGCCACGTAGTTTTACACCTGAACCTAAAAACTTACATAAAACAGGAACGCTCTCGTAACCATGACAGTAAAGGCCTGTAAGATGATAACAACCTACTGACTCTACTGGTAGGGACCTCCTGAGCCATAATGTGGGTCTAAAAACAACCGATAAGGAGCCATCGAATGGTGTGATACAAGCAGGTGTTTTTGGAGACTCAAAGGTGACTGAAACTAAAAGAAGTAAACACAAACCACGAGAGAACACTGAA